TGTACCCGGGGCTGCCGTGTGGTGCCGAGGCGAACTGGACCCACACCGGCGCAGAACTGCCCGTGAAACCCCGACATGTCCGAGCCGGTTCTCGGTTTTCATCCCATGCAGACTCCTGAAGCGTGGGAGGGAGAAAGGTGGCAGGCCTGGGCCAAAATCAAACCAGGGACTAACGGTTTTTAACCTTCTAACGATTTTAGGAACAGAAAGCAATGATAGCAATTCAATGACACAGAGAAGGCTGAGTTCTAGGGGCCAGGAGCGTTTCCCTGCTTGCTAGTAGAGATTTTACCAAACTGTTTTATTAACATCTATCCGTCTCACAGAGGTCTCTGTCACAGGGCAGACGGACATTAAGGGCACCTGTCGTATTTCATTACTGGTCTTTGAGTCTCACGGCAGATCAAACGCTGCCGCAAAAGCCACGTTCAATTCTTCCTGCCGTGGGTCAGTAATAGGCCCGAGTTCAGATTTAGGAATAAGATAGGGACAACGAGGATAGACCAACACGGATTAAGAGAAGTTCAGGATCAGGACTAGGGGCCAGCACACAGATGAGTAGAGTCCAGGGAGTCAACAGTCTGTGGGGAACACCAGAAACAAGCTGGGTTGATCATGAGCATGTCTGTCTTGAGTCAAGACCTAGCACGTTTGGGGAAATAACTAAGAAACCCAAGAGGAAACGCATGGACCTTTCTTCAGGTTTCTTGTGGCTGGTCTGCAGGAGATAACCACTTGCAACAGTAACCTCCATTTAACTGCCACATGTTGATGCTGCCCACAGTCTGTTCACATCGCGGCAGTCTGTCCTAAGGCTAACTTCAGCTCGTCTCACAGCCAAAGAGATGCGTCAGATTCTTCTGGACGTATCCTTACCATGCCTCCTCTAACTGTCCGTCACACTTCCCAGGCAGTTTAACAGGCTGTATAGGTGCCACATCTAAACACACTGGATTCACTGAGAGACCTCTTCTGTCTTTGTCTGCACCACAGAAACTCTTTTTCTCTTAATTCTTGGCTCTTCACTCCATTGTGAAACTCATGGCTATAGCACAGTGTATTTTAACCAGGCCACACCACTGCGTCTGCTTATGACAGGGATGGCTTTTGGCATCCTTAACCTGATGTAACAGCAATAACCAGTTTGAGGTGTTCTTCCATATACTCTGCTCAGGGATAATAATACCTTTGGGAGGTGATGGAGCCACGCTCACCTCTGCTGCATAATGATCTTTCAGCCAAGGACCACAAGAAAGGGACAGTGGCTGCCAATGAGATACCAAAATAAGCGAACCAGGAAGCTCCCTGTTAGAGAACAGATTCATCCTGTAAAGAATCTGCTATTCAGCATCTGGCAGTGGGGACTCTGTCAATCATCTCTGATACGTCTACTACTTCAGAAGACTGTGAATGTGTCAGAGAGGGTGCTGCCTGGGGGTTCCTGCCTGGGTCCATCAGTGGTCAATCCAGCCTTCAGTGCAAGGAGAGCTGTGCACAGGAGCTCACAGCTGACAAGTGATCAGAAGATGCTCATCTACGTGAGGGTGACATATGCATTCAGATGTTGTTGGTCTCATATACTACTGAGCAGTGTAACTGAAAGTTATTTTTTCACCTAAGACATTAACTTGCTTTACTGCTTGCTCTACTCAAGTGCTGCACTGGAGTGGATGGGTGTGTTCCGTTTTGCAATACTATATGTCAGAGCAGGTTACAGGATCTGGCAGAGGAACCCAAGGGAGGTACCTGAGGATCCTCCTCAGGATGTAGGAGCCCTCTGACTCCCGACTCCTTAGAACAGTCCAGGAACACAGGAGGACATGTGTTGGAACACACATGATGATGATCATGTCCAAATCTTCATCCGAACTACTTTGTTTCCTCCATATGGGTGTTTCACTATGCATGACATGCTAGCCTGGAAACTGAAAGGATGTCTTGGAGGTGCAAAGGAACTGAGGAATGCGGGTTTATCGTGTCTTGTTAGGTGGTGATAGGTGTCCAACACGCTCTGAGGACATCTTGTCCTGTAAAAAAAAAAAAGTAAAAAATAATCAAGTCATCTTCTGGGTCTTATTTCCAACAATTTTGTCCATGGAGATTGGTAGCAGTAGGAGACATTCCTATTTGTCTTACCTGGACTCTTCACTGTGATGTTGTGCATGAACCTGGAAGCCAGAGCAACAAGGACTGACTTTGCTTGACGAGGCTCTGTTTCCACACAGAATTCAGGGATTGCCATTAATCCTCTCCCAGGTTTTGGCTTGGATGACAGTTTCTTTTTCATGAGTCTGTCTTCCAGTGTTATAAATAGGCTGACAGACAGGACAGTCCAGAACCATAGGACTCTTCTCTATTTCCCCTATTGAATAATACTATCCATTCATGAGTTGCTAGGGCATCAATTCATGGTATCCTCATAAGCATGAGAAGCAAGGGGGTTTGTTTGTTGTGTTTGTTTGTTTTGTTTTGTAGACTGGAATGCTATTAAGAGACAATTCTGGTCTACGTCTACAAAAATAGAAAACCCTTTCCCTCAGCTCCCATCCCATTTCAGAGGATTTTCTTGAAAATTATTATTATGGTCCACCAGCCAAGCTGTGCCTTGGAGCAGCAGACAATAATTGTAACAGGCAGAGACTACTTGGCAAGCCCGAGTCTCCCCCAACTTAGTCTGGAAAGCACTTGCATAAACGAATGAGACTCCACTCACCCAACATGCTGCCAGCTGCACAGGCAGAGCAGCAGCTGCCAAGCCTGGGACCATTGCCTGACAATTAAAAGGCAGCGTACAATCTGAACAAAGATCTAGGGGCATTTTGCTCAATTAACTTAGCAGAAGCGATTGTGGACCTGAACATCAACTTCTGGACTTTAATGACAATTTGAAGTCTATGAATAAGAGTGTAAATACTACTACGTAAATTTAATATATGAACTCTTTATTTCTCTTCACACATGCCTTAGTGCTGTCAGGAATGACACTGAAAGAGGTAGCTCCCTAGTACCATGTGTGTAGAGATCAAAAAAGGTGTAAGAAACTATAGCCTGGCCAGTAGGTGGTTTTTGTTTGCTGTAGGTGGATGGGATAGGTGACGGGAAATAAAGGTAAACATAACAGGTCAGATGATTCGGTTTCCAACTTGTTCACTGATTTACATGCTCACCCTGTCAGGCATGAGACACTCACCTTCGGAGTCCCACAGGGATCACGGATCCCATAAGACCTTTTCAGTATCAGGTCTGAATTGCTATATTCAATGGGAGTCAAGTGGCAGCAATCTTTGACCAGCGTATATCCTTTATGTTTTTTTACACCCAACATCTATAGCTCTAACAGCACATGGATGAAGTATGACTGATCCATGTTCTGCTCCAACAAGGCAGGACCAGTGTTCCTGAAATTTGCAGCCATGCTTTTGTGGTGAAGGTACGCATGCAATTTATATTTCACAGCTGAGGAATATTCTTGTATTCCCTGCTGATTCTGAGCTCTCACATAAAAACATCTGCTAATAAGATTTTTTATAATCTCCATTTGGCAAGGTAACTCTATCCCATCCTGGCAGACAATGACCAGGCCTCAGTTATTCACGTCTTCCTCACCTCCTGGCTGGGCTGGGAAATGTGACACGTTTTGGGCACAAAGCCTTTAGCACTTACGAAATTCCAAGTATACCAGAAATCTGCAGTGCAATCCCATCAACAACACATGGTGGTGTGAAGACATAAAAACCTTTCTAATGGTCTCTGTTCGAGTTCCATGCAAGATCAAGGCTTTCACCTTTGTTTTCAAAGAACTTTGTGGTTTGGACCCAGAGCATTTAAAAGATTGCTTATGTTTCTTACAGGGAGACCACAATTAACACAATGCCGCTTTCTGCGGTAACAGGACAGTTCATCCGGACAGAAGGCACCAAACTTTCTCAGAGACTAACATGAGATTCTGGAGTGAATTCCCCCAGGAACCACACATCATCACAAGACTTCACCAACTTCTACTCCCACTGCAAAGCACATTCTTTTGGTTTTGTCTCTTCTGGTATAAGTGCAGCAACGATAAAAATAAAACAGGACACTTGTTCCACTAGGGAGAGAAAGACAACACCACCTGACAGATGTTAGTTGTGTCATCTGGAAGGCACTCAGATACATGGATGACACTGAGATACAGGAACTTAGCATAAAAGAGGTAGAAGAGACCTATGGTGTAAATTTACACGAATTCATGTTGCAACAGGCATCTGTCCCCTGGAAACTCGTGTGAGGTTGCCAGACTGAGTTCATGCAGTTCACAGAACAGCTGTAAATCCTAAGTGAATCTATTTAAGAAACAAGTAGTTCCATCAACAGCATTATTTCATAGAACTATACAACCATGGAATGGTTTGGGTTGGAAGGGACCTTTAAAGGCCATCTAGTCCAAGCCCCCTGCAACGAGCAGGGACATCTACCACTAGATCAGGTTGCTCAGAGCCCCGTCCAACCTGACCGTGAATGTTTCCAGGGATGGGCTGTGTTTTCAGGGTAGATTCTCTGCTGTTACAAAGGTATGCTCTAAAGCTTCAGTCTTTGTCCCAGTCAAGATACTCACAGCATCTCCGAATTCTGCCCAGGGATACTCAAGTGTCCTTTAGACCTCTAGGTCTCTGTCAAATTTGGCTGAAAGTGGTCACTTCTGGTTCTAAATATTCGGGGGAGGGAAGAGACACAGAAATGCTGATCACATAAACTGTTTGTATAGGGAAGTACACTAAAACCTCTACATGGAAAAATAACTACTTTCCGTAAAGCCAGCTTTATTAGAATAGGAATACAATATACAAAAATAAAGTGTTCCTGTAAACACAAGATCAAATAAGCTAACATTTCACTGGAAGCCGAAACCTTGTAATAACAAACCTACTGAACACATCTTTAACAAGCAAACCACCAACAGATAAACGCTTGCATGTAAACTGTGCTTTTGGTAACTTCTGAAATAACCATCAAGGACCAGCATTGCAGAATGATTTTTGTTATAAATAACCCATCGACAGTTTTTTAGAGAAAATGTAACTGTTCTCTCTGTCTCTCAAAATATGTCTTAAGCTATAAAAACAGTACAAATCTTTTCCTAATATGAAAAACACAGCCTTAGATACAAACATGTAAAAAACCTAAACTGCTTCAGAATGCTACTAAAATAACTCTATTAAAAACTTACCTATACTAAAAATATTTCCTTTAAAGGCTGGTCTAGCCAGAAGTTAAATCTTTAAACACAGTGCTTACAGTATACAAATATAGAGGTTTTTAGACACAACTGTTGGCATATTAGAGGCTGGCTGACTTAAGAATCTTATTATTAATGATGCCATCCAGTCATGCAGATTTGTTGTATTTCTGAGCAATGCCATAGGGCACATGTGCAGCTATGGTGCCTAATTTCTGTGCTCCTTCGATGTGAAACATCTGGTCGTCAAAGAAAATGTGAGGGCGGATTTTCACCAGGACTGGTCCTTTAGGAGCTCCTGCTAGGAAAAGTGCCTCATCAATCTCTAGGCCCCAGCTACGAAGAGTCTTCAGCACTCTGGCTCCAGAGCTCGCCGCGCTTCTGGCTGTGACCAGGAAGGTTCTTATGGGACAATTTAATCGTTCATTTTTTGCATAGAACTTCTTCTGGAGTTTCCCTAGGTCTTCCAGAAAACCTTTCAAAGGACCCTGAGTACAAAAAAACAGAAACACATTTAGTATTTGTCCACAGCTCCCAAAATCATTCTTTTATTTTATTCCAGACTGCCAGTTACAGTGCTAGGCTACTCAACAATTCTCTGTGTAATGTGTCCAAATGGGTCTGCACCCTCAGTAGGAACTCACAAATTGGAAAAAAGTTAAAACCATAATCCTACATGGTATGATCAGTTTTTTTTTAAACTGATTCTCACTAAAGCTCACAAGATCTCTTAAAAATCTAAAACTATAGTCTTTAATACAAAGTTGGTTAAAAACACTTAACTTTTTTTATTGTAAACCATGAGGTGCAAATTTTTTTTCTGTGCAAAAACGAGTAAGAGACCTAATTGCATAGACATCACTGAACTCTTCCCAGATTAATGACAATGTAAGAACTATACTCCAATTAAAAGCAGTAAATGATAGTTTGGGTCAAATTGCCATATGCTGCACTGTCCAGTACTTTCATAAATCAAGCTTTTATTCCGAATTTATACTATTTTTAAGAATGCAGAATTGGTCTTTCAGTTTAAGCTAATGTTAAAATATTTGTGGTTTTTACACAAATGGCATAGTTCTGCTTGGGAATAAGCACAGATATCGCCCTGTTTCAATAACCAGAATATCCCAGTGTTTGAAATTAACATCACCCACAAACTCTGATTAAAAAAAAAAAAAAAAAAAAAATCAAGGAAATCAGCAGCAGCCTTTCCTTTTTCTAACGATACAATTAAAATACAACTGTACATCACTGTCTTATATCTGCAGTTCTCTCACTGAAGTGGGAGATCTGGTGAAAGGACTGCAGTGGTGGGGTGGGCTCTTTCATGTCAAACATGCACTTTAAAGATTATCCTTGGAAAAGGAAATACACAGGGCAATCAGCTTCCACAAAGAAGAATACATACACACTGGGGAAACTGGAGAAATAGAGCAGCAATGAGAATTAACAGATGTCTTGAAAACTCACTGATTCCAGAAGTACAAACCTGTGCAAGAGGCTTATTTTCATTCAGCTGTTCATGTTCAAAAAATCTATCTAGTCCTTGCTCTTTGACGATCTGTTCTGATTCATCAGAAAAGAGAACCGCATCCCCATCGAATGCCACCCTCAGCTGCGTATCCGAGTAAGCGACGTCTTTGTTGGCAGTGAACATGGTAGCTGATGCGATGCCTGAAAATGGATCAGAGAACCTCAGTTAGCATGTCCTGCAAAGTCCTTCTGTCAGCAGTTCGGTTCCAACGACTTCTCTGTGGTGACCGTTGTATCTGGTGAGCAGAAACGATCACAAAAGCTAATTAGTAATGGCAGTTCTGTAACAGACATGCATGGAAGCTGTCCCACTGACAGAACTCCTTAGAGATGCTTCCTTCCACTTCCATATAGGAACACACAAAATCGCTCCCCAAGGTGTGCTACAAATGAGACAAAGCAGGAAATCGCAAGGAGACTGTTGTGTCAAACTATTTTCTATTTTTTAACAAAACACAAAAGTTGATTTGTAAGTCGTATCAAAGCGATGACTCCATTCAAACAGAAGTTGAATAGAGGCACGTAGATGTGCATGGGAGAAGACAGAAAGGTGTGACAAAGGTACAGGGTGATTAAGTTGTCATTATCAGCAGGCTGAAGGGTTAGAGAAGAACAACACAGAGAAATAACCTGACTTTATTTGACTAAGCAAAAATAAGTGATAAGCTTGTACCATACAAAGTTGTGACTGCATTCAATGAAGCAGCACTACTTTCTGTGAAAGACACACAATATATTCATTTTTTAACAAGCTCAATGGAGGGGTAACAAGAGAAAGTCAGGTCAAACCTGCTTCTATAGCTTCTTGCACTTTTTCAGAGTCTGCTGAGAGGTACAAGTTCGTAAGATATGCAGTCAGGTAACCAACAGGGCTTTTTCCTCCCGTCATACAGAAACGCTCAATTGTCAAGCCTAAAGTAAGAACAGCACAACAAGGTGTGACTCTGCCTCCACACTACAAACCTGTAAAAGGAACCCACAAAAAGCTACACTAGCCTACAGCCGACAGTAAACTTAAAAAAGAAAAATATCTTCACTGTAATTTCAACAAGTTAGACAACTTGAACTGACTACCATGTTTGATCAGCTCTTCCTCCGTGAGAATTAAAAAACAAATCCCTCTAAGACAGCAGAATAACTGCTGTGAAGGTATAAGTATAGGGGGCATAAATACCAAACAACAAAAAGTTTAAGGACTTCTTCTCAGAAATTAAGATTCACACCTGAAAAGTTAAATCTAGAGCTTTTGACTAAAATCTGTTTAACACTATCTCACTTACACTGACACCGAAAAATAAATATCATCCTCTGAGGAATGGGTGTCAGTATCAAAGAAGCTGCTTTTACCAAGGTCAGAATAGGAAAAAAAAAATTAATTCATTTTATTATGTAACAGCAGGCAGTTCTACAAGGTAGTATTTATTTTACTTACCATAGTGATTGATGCTGTTTATCAGTCTCACTCCCACTTGGGCATGGTTATTAGTCATCAGAACAATATCAAATCGTTCTTCATCATCAGGGTACAGCTCAAGAAGCCGGGCATTGACATGCTCCAGTGCCTGCAGGTTACAAATGTGGTAGTCAACAGACAAGTGGAATGTGCCTCAGTTCTTAATCGCTGTGGGCTTAGTGACAGGACTGACTTGAAGGAGAATGTGAAATACCCGATAGTTTAACTCACTGAACTTGTTCTATTCCTTTCTGCTCTGCTGCTCCCAGCAACCATTTGACTGGGTTCATTTGAAGGGAAGCAAGTAAGTTTCTTTTGCAGAGTTACAGAATTTAGTTTTATCATGGAAATCCTTTTTCTTGTGACACCACGATCACAGAATACATCAATGCATCACTGAACATTATGACAATCCCTATTAATCTTTTTTTTTCTTGTCCACTTGAAACTTGGACTTTACTTTCTTGTCTACTTGCAAATTATTCTTGTGAAATCAAGGAGAACATGTAAAGGAATTTATACATGCAACTACTTGTTTTGCATGCACAAATGTAAATTTGGGTGACATACTTACACAAAGATTTACTGACACTGTTCAGGTGGTCAGGTGTCAAAGGCTGTCTTTAAGTAATGATTACAAAATCACACCCCGTCAAACATGATTACCTTCATGATATCTAATTGCAGAACTCAATGAGACAGATTTTGATTCGAGATCTCTTTAAAGATAATGCTCCAACATGTTATATCCACAGTTTGGCATTCTTATTTCCTTGACCTTCCATCGGCTCGTCTCTCTCTGTATCCATCTGTTCTCTCATGTAATTTAGAATCTTATCCCTTTGGAGTAAGACTTGCTTTTTGCTCTGCTTCGGGACCTTGGCCCTTGATTGGAATTCCTTGGGACTATGGCAATAAAGCCAACAATGAATCATGAAATGAATGCAAGATGGGTTGATTTTCATTAAGATGCTTAAAAAAATCAGGCCAGTTGTTAAGAATTAAAAAATAGATTTCATAATTAAATTCTGGGAATCTCACTTTAAAAAGCGTGGCTCTGTCATATGGGGCTATGCTTACAAAAACTGCAAGTGAGAGCCTAGTGTAAGGCCCAGGAAAAAAATCTTGGAATGTGGTCATAACCCCTTTTGCTGTTCCTCAAGAACAATTTCCAGGGTGACAACGAAAGCAAGGAAAAACTAAAGCTGACCAAAATAGAAAAAAAGGTTCATTTCTGAATAAAGTCATTCAAATAATATCGAACCAATGGAGTCTTTAATCACAGTAGTCCTATTATAAGTGAGACATGAAAATGGAATCAGGAACTAAGATGTTTTGGTTTTCTCTTGTTTCTTTTGGGCGGAGGCTGCAACCAACTTTACACAACTCGGGAGCCCACCTCCACTGAAAATGGCCTTTGAAGGGCGGGCGCCTCACGGGCCGCTGCCCGGCAGAAGACGCGGGGTGCTCCTCACCCACCCCCGCGCGCGGAGCAG